TATTATATATCCTCCTGAGAGGAACTCAGTACACTAACTCCTAAGATGTTTCCTTACTATAATTAATTAATATATTGAAATCACAACACTGGTAATTACAAACTTAACCATTTATCTTTCTATAAATAGTGCTTGTGTTGATGGATGCCATTTTGAAATACAATGAAATTATCTTTTTCAAAGCCACATATTTGGGGTGGGACACAATAAATAAAGCTTCGCCAGTTTATAACCGATGAAACATGATGGTATCAGAATAATCACTTACATGAGATGTATAGGATGCTACACAGGTCACTGTAAAGATAACATGTCAGAGAAGAAATAAGCAAGATACATGATCTGTTTAATCGCCATGTAGGTTCTCTTTTATTTATCAGCATCAGATCAATAAGTGTCAGTAGTATCAAAACAATATCATAACAGTGGCAATATATAACAATAATAGGTAGGCTCAGCAGCAGACACACCTTAGTGCAACGTTATGTGTCAGTATTAATAACAGTGGTGTATATATATATACCGGCGCGCCATCACCATGAGCAGCTGGTCCTGCGATTCCTGGGCCTTGTGTGAATGCAGCAGCAGTTCGTCGTGCATCTCCTTGCTGCCCATGGCATGCCGGTCCTCATTGTCCTTGCTGCCCATGGCACGCCAGTCATCCATCACCATGATAGTGTCAAGGAAGCTGTCATCCCGTGCCCGCTTTCCTAAGAGGAGATATAAGCAAGATACAAGATCAGTTTAATCGCCAAGTAGTTTTACAACATACTAGGAATGTGTTTACCAGTAGGTTGTCAACAGAGACAACATTGGACATGGTAGGCAGGGACAGTGTACACAATGCAGGTGTAAAGTATAAGATAGGATCAAATTGCTGACGCTCAAAGTGCCCTTATTTATTGTGTTTTGCTTGATGTAAGCTTGAACTTTGTTTTATTTGGTCAAAAAATTATTAAGAGTTTTCTTACCAGAAGTCATGTGACCTCTAGCCTCGGATGTTTACGTTTGGGAGAGAGTGAAAAGGGCGCAAAAAGTGTAAACGATGTATGATCACGGTGTTTCATAATTGTACCAAGAAAGAAATAAACGTGATTAGTGGACATCAGTTCGATGCGTAACCTTCTTTCAAGGCGTAGGAGTAGTTACAGTGTGTTTATATGTACCTTTGCGTTTGGTTGGAAAGGGAGATGATTTCCGGAGGGGAAAGCTCACTAGTTTCCAATCCAATGGGGAAACACCTCGTCGCCTGAAACACACGATTAGCGCCATGAGTTAGTGAAGCAAATTACAGAACACTGCACACTTATTCACAAGTCAAGACGTTTTCATAGCGGCCCGAGAATAGCTAGCGAGCTAGCTAGATGTTATTAGCTAGCTCGGTTCCGGCCTGCTAACAGTGTTACCCAATTCAGACTAGCATTGCTAACTCGATCTACCGAGCAAATAAAAGTACATCTGAGATAGGCGTGTAACGGTTCATAGCATTCACGGTTCGGTATGTACCTCGGTTTCGGGGTCACGGTTCGGTACGGGTTCGGTACATCAAGAAAAAGCAAAAAAAAATCCCAAATGCATAATTCCATGTTTGTTGTTATTTATTTGGAATAGTAGTGCAAGTTTCAGTTTTAAAAATAAGGAACTCTAACATTATGAATAATTAACTGTATTACACTGTTAAAAACAAACAGTACCACACACACACTCAGATGCCCAGATTACCTATAATGGCTGATGTCAAACAAAAAGGTTCAATAAACTGTCAAACTAAAAAGAATGTCTTGAAAATATTACAAAATAAATAATAAGATAGTGTTTCAATCACTTTCAATCACAATCAATAAAAGCTGGGGTCCTCCACTATTGCATAAGGGTGCATAGCAGTTGAAGAACATATGCCAAAAGCTTCCGTTATTTATTTTGGTCTCTCGGCTTTCATGTGTATTGGCTTCTTATAAACAGCGGGGAGAAGCTGTTGAACTGCTGCTGTATTTTGCCGGGCTCCGGTGATTGCCAAATCTGGGTGATGCCTTCTGATATGATTTAGCATGTTTGGCGTGTGTTCCCATGAGCATACCGCACCACTGTAGAACAAAACAGCCACACCGTCCTCGTCCGATCCACCACCCGAAATGTTCCCACACAGCTGATTTAAAAGAAGCAGGTGGTTCTTCTAGCTCCTGTGTTATCTGAACTCGCCATACTAACAATTTTTGTTCGTTTTGTTGTGTTTTCTTCTTCTTCATTTGTTGTTTAAGGGCAGCTGGCAAACAGCTTTTAGGCGCAATACCGCCCCCTGGATTATATATAGTGTAGTGGATACTGCCCTGAATGACAGACTTTTTTCCCACTCGTAAAAAAAAGGCGTATTCGTCGTGTGATTGCATGCACCGAACCGTGACGTCCGAACCGTCGAATACGGTTATCGTTACACCCCTAATCTGAGACCAGTATTGTGCAGATTAAAACGGTAAAGTGCATGAAGTATATTTTACCTTCGATTAGTGCCATGAGTTAGTGAAGCAAATTACAGAACATTGCACACGTATTCACAAGTCAAAACGTTTTCATAGCGGCCGAGAATAGCTAGCTAGCTGTTAGCCAATTCAGCCTAGCATGGCTAGCTCGATCTACCGAGCAAATAAAAGTACATATCTGTCCAGTATTGTGCAGATTAAAACAGTGCAGTGCATGTAGTATATTTTACCTAATTCGTCGTCGTCGTTGGGCAATTCAACCGTCATTTCAGCCTCCTACCTCATCGCGCTGCCTTCAGTAGAAGCTTCTGGATCGCGTCCTCCGAGTAAATCTCCGGATGCGCCGACACATCATCATTACTCCACCGCTCCATAGCTGCTTTCACAAAAGTAATCTCTTCGTTGGTGCGCTGCGCTGAGCTTTTAATGCGAGCAAATGAAATGACGGCTTCACAAAACCTTTTGGGAGTTTTACGGGGCGTGGTTTGCATTCAGTCCAGCCAATCAGACATATGAACCTTTTTCTCCCACGAAAGTCCCTGCTCTCTAGCAGGGACTGAAAAGCAGGTAAAAATGGTTCTGATGAACTAATTTAGTTCTGGGGGCTTTTTGTTGTGAACGCAAATATATCGTAGTTCTGATGAACTATTGTGAGAAAAGTACTCCGGTGTGAACGCGCCAACTGTTGCTTGCAGATGTTGTGGTTTCTCCCCCGCCTGCGGGGAATGGGGCTTAACAGGTTAATAATATACACACAAATACCGCCTCCTCTGGTCTTCCCCGGATTTGCATCGCTGTCTGCTCGAACAAGGTTGAATCCGGGTACCTCAAAAAGAGATTCAGGCATTGTAGATTGTAGCCAACTTTCCGTGAAACATAATAAAGAGGCCTCACGAAATTCAGGACAGTTCCTTGTGTATGTCCTTAGTGTGTCCACTTTGTTAATCAATGAGCGCAGGTTTGTGAGAATGATGGATGAAAGTGGTGGCCGGCTGAATCTTCGCCGTAGGCGATAAAGAACACCTCGTCTCCTTCCTCGTCTCTTTTTCCTGGTGTTGCTAAGCGGCTCCCGAGGGAGGTCATCCAATATTGAAGAGCACAGATGGCTTCATGTATTCGTATGATGCCGATCGCATTGTAGCTCCAGCATAGCCTCACGGCTGTAGCAGCGTAGGGGCCGGGACTCCTCGCCATACCTGCTCGTGCTGTCACTCAGGTGTGTCTTGGAAAGTTGTATGGCCAGACATGGTCTGCTAAAAGGAAAATATAATCGACAGGATCAAAAGCATGGTCTCTCAAAATGACGTTTCATACAGAGACAACAAAGTTTAGAAAATAATTAGACCAAAAACACCAAACACAAGACTAACGGAGCATACCATCTCCCTCTGTCTCCTGTGGGAGTAAGTCATACATGTGCAAGTCTCAAGTTACTGGGGTGAGAGTCAAGCAATTCATACGAAATCCTGATGAATAACCCCAGTTTCCGCATTTAAATCAATTAAAAGACGGTGGTTATGAAAAGTAGAGTTTTATTTTCAACATTAGCAACAATGGAGAGTGGGGCTCTGAAATCATAAAACGGGTAATATGGGGAATAATCAGGCAGTACGATATGTGTGTGTAGAGGTGTGTGTTGTTAAAACGTAGCAGCCTGCAATCACTATTTATCTGTTCTAGTGAAGGTAAACGCAGTGAAGTAAAATGCACAGCTCTTTGCAGCTGGTGCTGCTCTTCTCAGATTCTGCGGAGTTACACGTTACTGCCTCCTGGTGCTGCAGAGATTTCATGAAGTGAAGGAGGTTTTCCTTATATAAAACAGCTGTGGGCAGCAGATACTGTGAGAGTCACGGACATGAATTCATAGATCAAGGCAGACTGGTTCACAGACTCTCCTGTTTTGCCGATCCGGTGCTTAAACAAATAGCTCTCCCGGCCGAAATGTCCCTAAAATGAAGTCCGACATCGAAATATATCTCAATTAATGTATGCACTGCCATTTCCCCACATAAACATAACAATCTGCAATGAAACGTCTGTCTCCTATGCACTCCACTTCCTACTTGGCGCACTGGTAACTTTCTCCTGCAAACAAGTTACTTTCTCTCACTCTTTGTTTTCATTGCCCTTTAGGGGCTTCCTACAATACAAATGCAAATATTTTATTTTAGAAAGTAAAGTCCTTTCGAGTCATCTGTCTCAAGCCTTAGTCAAGTCTCAAGTCATGAATACCAAGTCAAAGTCAAGTCGAGGATGTTATCAATGTTAGTCAAGCAAGTCCCAAAGCACGAAAATATGCGAGTCAAGTCATGTGACTCGAATCCCCCACCTCTGGTATTTACTGTGGTTAGAATGTTGCTGTTACTGTATCTAATATAATACAAATGTAATAAACACAAACCGTTAGTAAAACTAGTATTTTGTTAACTCAAGGTTTATATTAAGTGAGTTTTTATTGTGTTAACTGCATGTATTTATGCTTTTTAGATTTACTTTCTCTCTTTCTTTGTCCGTCTGTTCTAGAAACTGAAAGGAAGAGAAAGACGTCACGGCTGTCAGCAATGTGAAAAATACTTTACAACATCTGCACATTTAAAGTGCCACCTGCGTATTCACACTGGAGAAAAGCCGTACAGCTGTGAAGAGTGTGGGAATACATTCACTAGATCTGGTAATCTCAAAGCACATCAACGTATTCACACTGGAGAAAGACCGTACAGCTGTGAAGAGTGTGGGAAAACGTTCACTGCATCAGGTGATCTCCAAAAACATGAACGTATTCATACAGGAGAAAAACCGTACAGCTGTGAGTTGTGTGGGAAGACATTCAGGGAATCGGGTAATCTAAAAAAACATAAACGTATTCACACTGGAAAAAAACCGTACAGCTGTGAAGACTGTGGGACAACGTTCAAGACATCAACTGAACTCAAATCACATCAACGTATTCACACTGGAGAAAGACCGTACAGCTGTGAAGAGTGTGGGAAAACGTTCACTGCATCAGGTGATCTCCAAAATCATCAACATATTCATACAGGAGAAAAACCGTACAGCTGTGAGTTGTGTGGGAAGACATTCAGGGAATCGGGTTATCTAAAAAAACATCAACGTATTCACACTGGAGAAAAACCGTATAGTTGTGAAGAGTGTGGGAAGACATTCACGGAATCGGGTAATCTAAAAAAACATCAACTTATTCACACCGGAGAAAAACCGTACAGCTGTGAAGAGTGTGGGACAACATTCACTCAATCAGGTGATCTCCGAAAACATCAACGTATTCATACTGGAGAAAAACCGTACAGCTGTGAAGAGTGTGGGAAAACATTCAGGGTATCAAGTGCTCTCCAAAATCATCAACGTATTCACACTGGAGAAAAACCGTACTGGTGTGAAGAGTGTGGGAAAATGTTCACTTCATCAGGTGCTCTCCAAAAACATCAACGTATTCACACAGGAGAAAAACCGTACTGGTGTGAAGAGTGTGGGAAAACGTTCACTACATCAAGTGAGCTCCAAAAACATCAACGTATTCACTCAGGAGAAAAACCGTACTGGTGTGAAGGGTGTGGGAAAACGTTCACTACATCAAGTGATCTCCAAAAACATCAACGTATTCACTCAGGAGAAAAACCGTACTGGTGTGAAGGGTGTGGGAAAACGTTTTCTCAAAGTTCTCACCTTAAGCTCCACGAGCGAATCCACACCTTATAGTTTTGAACAACTATGAGAAGGCAAGGCAAGGCAAGGCAAGTTTATTTATATAGCACTTTTCAACACAAGGCAATTCAAAGTGCTTTACAAAAAATGAAAGAGATTAAGAAAATGGCATTTAAAATCAGTCATTAAAAAGAAAAGCTAATAAAATAAACATTAAAAGAAAAAATACATGGATAAAAGTTACAGTGCTGTCAATTAAACATTAAAAGAAAAAAGTACATGGATAAAAGTTACAGTGCAGTCTAAGATATGAATAGTTCAATTAAAAGCAGCGACAAAAAGAAAAGTCTTCAGCCTGGATTTAAAAGTAGTCAGAGTTGTAGCGGACCTGCAGGTTTCTGGGAGTTTGTTCCAGATATTTGGAGCATAATAACTGAACGCTGCTTTACCATGTTTAGTTCTGACTCTGGGGACAGAAAGCTGACCAGTCCCTGAAGACCTGAGAGATCTGGATGGTTCATAATTTAGCAGGAGTTCAGAAATGTATTTTGGGCCTAAACCATTCAGTGCTTTATAAACCAGCAGCAGTATTTTGAAATCTATTCTTTGACACACAGGAAGCCAGTGTAAAGACTTCAGAACTGGAGTGATGTGATCCACTTTCTTAGTGTTAGTGAGGACTCGAGCAGCAGCGTTCTGAATTAGCTGCAGCTTCCTAATAGATTTTTTAGTGAGACCTGTGAAGACACCATTGCAGTAGTCGAGTCTACTGAAGATAAAAGCATGGACAAGTTTTTCCAAATCCTGCTGTGACATTAGTCTTTTAATCCTAGATATATTCTTTAGGTGATAGTAGGCTGATTTAGTAACAGTTTTAATGTGACTGCTGAAACTCAGGTCAGAGTCCATGACTACACCTAGATTTCTGGCTTTATCTGTTGTTTTGAACATTGCACACTGAAGCTCAGCGCTAACTTTTATACGTTCTGCCTTGGCTCCAAAAACCATTACCTCCGTTTTATCTTTGTATAATTGGAGAAAGTTCTGACACATCCAGTCTTTGATTTGTTCAATGCACTTACTCAGTGTTTGAATTGGAGCATAGTCTCCTGGTGAAATTGTTACGTACATTTGTGTGTCATCTGCATAGCTATGGTAACTTATTTTGTTGTTCTTCATTATCTGAGCCAGTGGTAGCATGTAGATGTTAAAGAGAAGAGGCCCCAAGATGGAGCCTTGAGGAACCCCACATGTCATATTTGTGAACTCAGATGTGTATTTACCTATAGAAACAAAGTTGTTTCTGTCCTTTAAGTAGGATTCAAACCAATTCAGAACTGTTTCCGAAAGTCCCACCCAGTTCTACAGTCGGTCTAGTAATATGCTGTGGTCAACAGTGTCAAACGCAGCACTGAGATCTAATAATACTAACACTGAAGTTCTGCCACTGTCTGTGTTTAAGTGGATGTCATTAAAGACCTTTACAAGAGCAGTCTCAGTGCTGTGGTTTGGACGAAAGCCTGACTGGAACACATCGAAACAGTTATTTAAATGCAAGAAATTACTCAACTGTGGAAAAACAAAAACAAAAACAAAATCAATGAGAGCTAGCTGTTTCCTCCTCCTGATGTCCTGAGAGCTGTATTTTTATATTTGAAGAGTCTTTCTGAATTGAAGTCTCGTTTGATGTCCCTGGACAAGCCCTGAGGTCCTCTTCAGCTTTTTAAATATCCCTAAAATCCCCCAAAATAAAATGGGTGAGGCTTTTATCCACTACGCTCCCAAACTGTGGAACACCAGGAAATATCAGAGAGGCTCAGTGGACATTTTTAAACGCCTTCTAAAGACCCATCTCTTTAGATTAGCTTTTTATTAGCAACCCCCCACTTTAAATGGTCTTTTAGTCTTTATTATTTACCTACTTTTATATTGTTTCATTTATGATATAGGAAGGGTTTTATCTTATATTAGTTATTTAACAGTTTCAATAGCAACATTCATTTTTACGTTGGTTTCTTTATATTTTAATCGTTTAACCTTTATTAGAATGATGTCGTTTCTATTACTATTCATTTGTATTTCTGTTGTACCTATATGTTCACTTTATTTTATAGGGTTTTATATTGTTGCATCTATTCACTTGTCTTGTGTCTTATCTTTCCGAGAGAAATCATAATTTAGTTTTCATAATCCTTCTCCTCTGGGCTGCTTGTGTGACGTGTGCAGCATGTGTAGTGTGTTGTCTCTGTGTGAGACCCAGTGCTGGAATTGGGCCGGTACTCACCGGTACGCAGTACCGGCACTTCTGGTTCTGACCCATGGAGTACCGGCACTTCTTGCTCAGTACCGGCATGCTGGCGGTACTCCGGTACTCATGCACCGTGCCAGTACTCAACACTCTCCCGCCGTTCTTATTATACATCCATATATATATATATATATACAGCCGCCCGGTACTCAGTAGATGCGTCATGAGGTGCCGAACGGACATTCTCATCGCTCTAACCGCTGGAGTTTCACAGCAGCTGTCAGCTGTTTACTCCTGTCATTCAAACAGAACGTGCTGGGGAGGGGGCGGGGCTTATCTTCTCCATGTAAATACTGTGGTGGAAACGACTATGTCAAAATTAACCTATTTGACCGTGATTTAATAGTAATACACGTTTCAAAATAATAATAATAATAATAATAATGCCGAAGTAACAACATACTGAAAACTGTTAGTAAAACCATGTTTTAATGCTTTACAATGTACATACCTAGATGCACGTGTGTTGTGTTTATGCAGTGCAACTCCCACCCAGTGGGTGGCTATGTAGAGTGATAGAACAGAGCAGGCACGCCCCCGAGAGAAGGAAAGCAAGTCACGTCACAAATTAGCATTTCTAAAATGTTAGCGTGGATTAATAAAAGTGCAAAAAGACAGCGGTTGTCGCCGGAAGAAACTTCAAATACAGAGAATGCTGTGCCTGTGTTGGAAATTGTGTCTGATGGGGAGCTTTCTTTGGTTGATCCTCCTGCTCCAAGTTCTAGTGCATTAGCATTAGCACTAGCTCCGCCGTCTCCTCCAGAGCCTCTAAAGTTAGCTGCTGCTGGCGCAACTGCCACCACCAACACCGGGCAAAGCGATGCACCTGACTGCTGGACAACGGACCAGGTGCAATATTTTTGCAAGACCAATGCATGGCTCCTTCTTAAAGATAAGAAGCTAGGATGTTGGATATGCAGAGATGTCAAATCTTTGGGAATACACACTGGACAAGGACTGAAACTGTCAACTGAATGGGGTGAGTGTGCAGTGTCTCATTTCGGTGTTGACAAGGGCAAACAACAAGCTAGCCTGAGAAAAAAAATCAAAGAACATAAAGAATCACAAGCCCATGTAAAAGCTGCTGACATCCTTACATCTGCTTCACGTGAAACTATTCAACATCAAGTGCAGTCTATGCATAAATCTGAATTAGACACCACTATCAGAGTTTTTCGAACGGCATATAAAATTGGCAAACATAGCCGGCCATTCACAGACATGCCAATTGATTTGAATGTACAGAAACTGAATGGGCTGAACGTGGGCAGGGTTTTGCACTCCAATAAAACCTGTGGCGAAATCATCGACCACATAGCTCATGAGCTGAAGAAAAAAATGGCAAAAGACATTACAGAAAACCAAAGAAAACTCTGTGTTTTGGTCGATGAATCTACCACTATTAGTGGTAAAACGGTGCTTGTTGTGTGTCTACGCTCAGCATTAGCTGATGCTGAGCCCGAAACGTTTTTTTGGGAGCTGATCGAGTTGGATGGAACAACGGCTGATGACATCACAAAGGCGTTAATGGAGTGTCTTGGAAGAGATTTTAACGAGGACTTTTTAGGTCAGTGTTTCGTTTCTTTTGCATGTGATGGGGCTTCAGTCATGCTAGGGAAGAGAACAGGCGTTGCTACCCAGTTGTGTAGTAAATTCCCAAGCCTGTTTGTGTGGCACTGCTCCAATCATCGTCTAGAGCTGGCAGTTGGGGATGTGGTCAAGGAGGTCTCAGGGCTCAATCATTTCCAGATCTTTTTTGACAAACTCTATTCCTTGTTCCATGCCTCCCCCAAAAATCAGAGGCAGTTAGCGCAGTGTGCGCAAGCAGTCGGACAGCGTCTCCTGGTGATAGGGCGTGTTTTGTCCATCCGCTGGGTGGCTTCAAGTGAAAGGAGCGTCAGAGCAGTCTGGGAAAACTACCGAGTGCTTCATGATCACTTCACAAATGCTGCAAACGACACGAGCAGGGATTCCAGAGACAGAGCAAAGTACAAGGGCCTGGATGATGTGCTCACATCTGCAACGTTTGTCAGCAATCTGGGACTGATGTACGATGCGCTCACAGAGCTCAGCGACCTCTCTCGGCAACTCCAAAAAAGAGAGATGACACTGCCTACAGCAGATAGGCTCTTAACTCGAGAAATACGAGTTTTTGAATCCATGGTCACCATGCCTGGCCCACACATGACTACAGTTCATACAGCTCTAGCTGAGAAGTCCTTCAAGGGTGTTGCCCTGCGTGAGAATGGCAAGCTTGTACAGATTCATCCAGGTCAGTTTTTCCGCAGTATGGTAGAGAATCTGAGACACAGAATGACTTCCACAACCTCCTCTCATGTCAGCACAAGAGAAATCCCATTACATGGCCGGGAGGCCCGGGACAATCAGCTAATCCAGGACATGAAAGTTATCCATCCTGGAAGTTGGCCTGAAGAGGAGTTAGACGTACAGTATGGGGACGTAGAGGTGCTACGTTTGTGCGAAGTGCTGAAAGTGGACAGAAGAGAGACTGTTCAGGGCTTTCGCGAATACAAGGAAACCAGGGCATCCCGTACACCTGCTGCCATGGAGCCTCTACTGAAAGCAGTCCGAACCATCGCTGTCTCCACTAGTGAGTGTGAGCGGGTATTCAGCTGCATGAACGATATCCTTACTGCAAAAAGGAATGCTCTCTCTGTCAGCCGACTGTCCAGCCTGGTTTTCATTAAATGTAATGGACCATCACTAGGACAGTTCAATCCGGAACAGTATGTGAGGTCCTGGCTGGCAAAGGGAAGGAGAAGTGCTGATGAAAGAGCCTGTCCAGCTCCAGCCCCTGATACTGATGTCCCCAAGGCCTTCTGGAGCCTTTTCTAACAATGTGAAGTATATTGCAAAGCAGCTCACCCAGTGAGAAGACTTTTGGCATAAT